CAATAAAACTCAATTTCAGAATCAAAAGAGAAAACACATATATAAGAGTGTATTGGAAGAAAATAGGAGGTGCATTTATTGAATTATTCTTCAAATTTATTAAAGAAAAAAAGCTTGCAAATTTTTTCAACAATCTTATTATTTTTTAAAAATGTTTTTTTAATTAAGAAAAAAAATGATGAAATATAGATTGTATTCTATTTAATTTTGTAAAAACTTCTATTCACACTACCAAAATAAATTCTTGAAAAGATAAAAAAATAAAAAATAATTGAATTCTTCTAAAGAACATATTAAATTATACATTAAGAATCTAATTATACCATTTTATGATAAGATACAGAAAAAATATTAAGAATATTAAAAGAAAATTGGACTTAGATAGTACTGCCATGTAAACATTTAAATATGTATTAAAGCATCATAAAATAGGAAAATAAATTAAGCTTTAAATATTCAGTATAGTGTTTTGTTTTAAAGTATTATCAAAGGTATTAACATTATTAAAATAAATGTACGGACATATTAATGTGTCAATATTTGTAACATTTTTTTATTTTTTTCTATAATGGTACTGCCAACACAATTTTAATGTACTTATAAGAAATCTTAATGGAAAACTCTATTCATATTTAATCACTTAATTTTTTTTTACTATTTCATTTCTAGGACTATTTTGGTTAACTTTATCAAAAAAAATTTATAAAATTTTCTGAGAGAATTTAATTTCTAAAATTCTAATATTAAAAAAAATACAAGATTTCTTATTTTCTTATTAGAAAATAGAAAAAATGTTATCTCTTTCTTGAGTTTATTTTAGTATTAAGAACACTCTTTTTTATTTGAAGTGCATGCCATGATAAATGTCTATAAAAACGATATCTCGATTTTTTTAAAAACAAAAAATATAAAAAATATAAAAAATATTTTCCAATAGTTCCATATTTATTTATAATTTTTGATAGAATTTAAAATAAAGCTTGCAAATTTGCCATAAAGGATGTATAAATAATAGATACAAAACTCCTTCAATTAAATAATAACTAATATTATGTCAATGGGCAAATGGCTATACCTTTACTATTCAAGTAGAAGAAAACTGTGTTATCTACATGTTGTCTACATGATATATTCTAAGAATATTGCAAAGTGTTTATGTTACAAATTAATTAGACTTATAGAATTACATATTGGCAGAATCAAAACATGAGAAATTGGTTCAGACAGGCATACATGATTGAGAATAGGTCCATCTGTAAGAAACAAGAAAAACACTTTCAACATCATTTGATTTATCGATCAATATTTAAATCAAGGGCACTCTTGTAATTAGTATGACTACATACCATTCCGACTATTTGTGTTATATTTTTCAAACGTTACAAATAAGATCAGAGTAGGTAATATTTTATCACTATTATTTAATACTCATTAGTTTATAATTATAAAACGAGGCCCTAGAAAGACATTGAAAAAAATAACATTATTTGAAAATTACCAATCTTTAGTTAAAACAATAATAGCTTAAAAGATATTATTAAAGTTATAAATTATAAAGTATAAAACTAAAATATTTAGAAAGTTGTAAATATTTTCCTAATGTTTTAAATCAAAAAATTTAAAAGTGTTACAAAAAGAAAATTGCACATTCACAATGATAGAAATAACAAAAAGAAATCAGATGTATACAGATGCAATATGCACATGGTTCACTTCCTTTGAAGCAAAATCCACAAAATATATATATATATATATATATAACTCATAGCTTTATTGATGTCACATCTAAAGTATAATATGCTCACTTCAAACTCACCCATGCACTTCAAAATCTGCCATATACTTTGGCCTCCAATTCCAAATCCACCCAAACCTATATTCCGTCGAGCCTCACAAACCAAAAAACCTAAATTTGATTCTATTTTTGGCATTGTTATTTTTGTAACAGGTGATCCATACTGCGGAGCTCTGACCTGAACTCTAATCAAGGAGGCTCTCGCCTACTTGAACCCCAGTTGGGGCCAGCTCTAAACCCCACATGGACATTACTATTCAACAAAAAAAACAAGCATGTATCAACAAAAAGTTCAAATCTTATTTAGATGACTCATGTAGAATAACTTTACAAAAAAATAAACTTGATAATTTAAAATTATTGGATGTTTTTGTACTAAAAAGAAAAGAAAATAAAATAAAAACATATTTAAAATCATATAAAAATATATGCATCTATTATATATATATATATATATATATATATATATATAATTTGATATTTAAAATTTCAAGAAGTCAAGGTTAAATTCTAATTTGAAAAATCTGATATTTCCCTCCAACACCATTGTACTAACCTTTTTATATTGAAAAAATACAAGTATGTTAGAAATATACCTTTAAAGATCAAAGATTCGATGGAATTATATACTATAATAATAGATCTATTGCAATATTTTTGCTTTTAAGTATTTAAAAAATCTACTATATCTATTGTATTTTGGCATGTGGCTATCATATGGTTCTTAAAAATAAAAACATAACATAAAATAAAATAAAATAAAATAAATGTATTTTTATAAAACTGAAGGTGCATGTTAAAAAAAAAAAAAAAAATCAAACAAATTTAGTTTGTTTTATTCATGCTATACATGGACAATGTAAGAATTACAATTTGAACTTCTTGCACGTATATGGAGTTTAAGAAATAAGTTTGTATGTTATGCTACTGAATTAGTTGGACAACTCTTTAACTTTAACAAAGCAATTGGAATTTAACAAAATCAATGTAATTTGGTTTTTTTAAGACCACAATTGTTGTTTTGATTGAAAAAACATATGATTTAAGTTTAAGTCAAATATATAAGTTATGTTTAATTTGACTTATTTGATAGAAGAGTCCTGCAATTTATGCATGGAGAAATCTTTTACAACCATTGATATAAGATGAATGTCAACATTAAACACTCTCATCTCAACCTTACTTAGATTTTGGATATGTTGTTAAGCCAAGAGGATTTATTAATAGATTAATTAAATACACAATATATCACAATATTTCATTCTAGGAATTATTAGAATTTCGTGCAGCAAGCTAATCATCTCTTCCTGCTTGATTTTGCAGAGTTCCAATTGATAAGTACACATTTATAAAATTTAGTTCTCAGTCAACCCTGATTTAGGATGTTGAGTCCATGGACAATTATGTATTAAGCTCACTATTAATGCAACCCATTCATTGCGTTTGGTTTAAATAATACTTTGAAATTTGATATTTTATTGGTTTTAAACCTTTTCATTTTATTTTATGTGTATACATACAGACATTCATTCATACATTCATTAAAATCATGTCCAACAGGCACATTTGTGTAAAATAATCACAATCTTCAAGGAAACAGTTATTTCAAACATATCGAGAAAGCATGATAACCTATCATTTATACCAAGAGAAAATAATAAAATTGAATGTTTGCCCAGCTGTAGTCCCCAACTGTTGACTTTATAAATGCCAAAGTGTAGCCACATCATGAATGAAAGTCAAATTATATATTAGACAAGGACATAGCATTTGATCACTTTTACCAACTTTCAAATGTAGATGCACCTTCCTTACATTAAAGCCAATAAAAAAGTACGAATATTAAAAAAAAAACAACTAAAAATAAACCATTCAGTGGGCCCTGAGAAGATGGCCTCCATTCCTCAAAATGGAAAACCATGAGCGACTCAGCTTTACAATATTCCTAATCCATGGAACAAAATATCCTTTTAACCATGTTTGAATCGAGGCATATTTAACCATATTTATAGAACTACAAGGTATCACTAGCAAGGTAGCTTGTTTCGAAACCATGTAAAAAGAACATGAATAAAATAATAGAGAAAATGAATTTGCAGCAAGAAACTCACGCGTGCAATTCACCCAAAACAACCTAAATACAATGCAACCACGTCAATTCACCAACCCTCAAAATTGCATGATGTTGTTACACGAAAAAATCATCGCATCGACAACCCAAAAAGGGAATTCAACTTGGGTCATGGACACAATTTCGTTTCTTTTAACCATCAAAACTGGGCTGCTATAACTTGGCATGTTGCTGGTGCGGCAAGGTAATAAAAACAAAAGAATAAAAAAAAAATACAAACAAATGGGGGTGTCGTCTCGGGATCTCCGAAGCAACGGGGCAAGTAGCACCGAGAATCCATCCATGCAAGCAGGATCATGCACGTCTTGGCACACATTCAAATCGTTGCCCGAGGAGATGAGAATCGGATGCCACGTTCTTCGAAACATTGTTGTTGCTTGAAGTGGAGCTTCGCCACGCCCCTGTCTCACTCTCTCGCGTTCGGGAGTTGTGTTTCGTGTTTTCTGGTGATGGTGGTGATGCTGGACGACGGAGCCTGTGTTGCAGAGGGCGATGATGGCGGAGCAGACAGAGAGTGAGTGTGTGTGGTGATGTGCGGCAGGTGGGAGTGTGGTCTCGCGCCACATGGCTTCCTCGTGAGAGAGAGGTGCGAGCCATCATCGCTCTGTTGCTGCGCGGCCATGGTTTCGAAAGCGGTGGTCGAGTTTCGCCTTCGCTGCATAAAAACGGGTGTTTATTTTAGTTGTTGTCATGGAGGGATTTGACTTGATTGCTCCGTATGTGTGAAATGTTGTCATCAGGATCCCTCGGGACTGGAGCCTCTGTCAAAAAGATGAAAAAGGACGTGGCTCAGCGTCTCGGGGATGCATCTTAAAGATAGCCAGATCGCTTATTCTATTTCCATTTGCAGTCTGCCTATTTAAAGGATTGAATTTCCTTTGGCAGTGGGAATTTGGAGGAATTTTGACTCGGTTCTCTCTCTACTTCTTATTCCTTTTTTTTTTTTTTTTTTTTTTTTTCTTTTCCATTAATAGTTTAATCCGTTAAATGGTGACCCTCTAAAGGCTGGCATGTAGCTTGACGCCGGCCCTTGCCTTGCATTGGTGTCGCGACATGCTAATATACCAGGTCACTGGTGATGTCTATTTGTGATTGATGTGTTTTGGCGATGTTCTGTTGTCCTGCACGAATTCCTGTTTTCCTCATCACTGTCGCTCGCTTGGGTTTGAAGCGTTGGGTGTTGACGTCACTTGAGATTTTTTGAAATTGTGTCACTGGATAGGGGCCAATCGCTGCCTCAGGGACCTGAAGCTCCGGCCATCTTCTTGTCATAGTTTCCTGATCGCAGCGGGTTATTTTTTTTGCTCGTTTGTGTTAAGTGAGGTTTTTGAGTCACCGCACCGGGGAATCGGCCATTAGGTAGTCTACCTATCAGTCATATCGTCGTCGTGACGAGCAGCAGCAGGTTGGGATGACTCTTGAGTTTCTTAAGAAACCTACGTTGATTGAGTGGACCCACACTATCTACGCCTATAACGGTGTGGCTTTTGGTCTTGACCCGATTTGTGTATATCCATTCATATTTAACTTCGCGGTGACTTGTTCTGTCGTAAGCTTGCTTCTTGAGACAGGCTGGCTAGTGCCGCACTTCTCATAATTCACCGACTTCTTGATGTGTCTCATTTGTGAGATCGGCTTGCAGCTTCTTTGTCGTACCTGTTGCGCAACGGAAGTGCTCCAGTTATGTCCATGGAAGACAACCGGCTTTGACAGCAGAGCCCTCAGAGTTGGGGGCCGTTGCGGTGAGACCTCGTTGAAGGCTCCACCCTTCACTCAAAGGCGCGTCCGCACGCTCAATCGGATTTTTCAATCTGCTGGTCGATAGTTGTGAATCCTCCTCTGCTTTGTGGCCTTCCAGGGATCTCCGGCGTCGGAGCACTGTTGAGTATTACGAAGGGATCGCGGATTTCGCACAATTCTGGCTTGTGTTTGGACCTTGTCAATACCAACCTGTGTGGTTCGAAGGACCCCTTGTTCTTGTGAATTCTCTGGGTTTCAGTCTGGGTGGTTCTATGCGTTTATATTTTCACGTATATTAGGAACTGCTGGCTTTCTTGAAGCTCTAGTCAATTCTTGAATCTTTCGTTAGAACTTGAAATCTGCGGATTCCTTGCATCACTGAAGAGGAGTTTAGTGTGGGCCGAACTGGATAGGGCTGAGCATCAGGTATCGATTAAAATGGAGGGCGTGAACGTGTTCCTAAGCAACTTGTGGGCTCTGCAAGAGCGTCGTTACGCTGTTGTGTACGTGGCGGTGACTAAGTTTGTTCGCACGATGCTGCGACTAATTCTTCTCAGTACCCCAAGATACTTCTGGTAGGTCTATAAGCTCTTTTAGTTTATTCTCCTTCAACTACTTTCGCTGTCTGTCTTAGACGTTTCTTATGTATTTCTTTAGCACCTACTTTTGGTTACTTTTGGTTACTTTTGGTTGAGGAGTTTTATACCTCGCAATTTTTAATTTTTAATTCATAAGAATAGCTTCTCTCTGTATTAGTGATTTACTCTTGCGATCCCATATCTCTCGTTGATTTCAATAAATATGCATTCAGATGAGTGAAAACTCGGTAGTTCTTTTGGAGGGCCCAGCAGGACTGTGCTGTGGCGTACAAGCTTGTAAGTAGTTCCAACTCTCGGCCTTCGACAATCATCAGCTCCATATGTTTGCCTTAGGTCGAAGCCACTATGTTTGTGTGTTTTTTTAAAAAAAGGGTTATCAAGCTTGAATTTAAGCTTGATCAGTGCAAATGAGTGTTGATGTGTTGAAGTCTTCCGAAAGCTGTTTCAGGCAATGCCTGCATCTGTATACTGATGCGTGTTCTTCCAGTCTGTGTCCTATTGCTGTTGATGCATGTGGACCGATCATGAGACCTTGCTGATTTAATTTTGCTTGTTGATCACAGGAAACACCGGCAGTCTCAAAGGCAAACCGACTCTCTTGGTTTCGGTACTCATGGGTATCGAAGATTTTAGGATCGGTTCCAGGTCCAATTTTTCGTGTTTCCGCGGTGCAGGCCAACACTGAGGTTTCAAGTGTGATGCAAAGTGGTGATTATCATTGCCAGCAAGCATCTTTGTTTCATTACCATGAGGCATCTTCGAGCAACTTCTGTATTACAGCCATCAATGGAAAAGCAAGAGACGCAAAAGCGTCCTCGTCGAGCTTGTTCTTTTAGAATTATCCTTAGATGTGGCATAATGTTGGTTTGTCTCATCCTCGCATCATATGTGTTAGGAGTAATTTTTAAGCTGTCAGGAGACCATGGAAATACATTTCACGATTTTGTGAACCAACCTAATTCTACGAAGGTAGTTTCTGAATACTCGTCTTCACTTCCTAAACCTCCTGGATTGAACTTCATGGAGGGTAAGAGCGTGGTTGTAGTCTCTCACGAACTTTCGCTCTCTGGTGAGACTACGTAAATTTGACTGAATCTTGATTTCTTAACTGCGCACGAATCAACTAGTCAGGCTTGTCATTATATGATGGACGTTACAGAATGACGTATGAACGTAGTGTTTAAGTCTTGATTTGAAGATTTCGTGTAAACTCGTTCATACCTGATTATATCGCTTGCAGGAGGGCCGCTGTTGCTGATGGAGCTTGGACATATTTTACGAAGAAGTGGAGCCTTTGTATATTGGGTCACTGGAAATAAAAAAGAAAATACCTCTGATCCCGTGGTTGTTTTCTTGGAGGAGAAGTTGCTGAACCACGGACTACAGGTGATTTTCTCCTTAGACTCCTTTACTGCTAGTTGTCTTAGTTTATTTATTTATTTTCTTCCACTGCTTATGATTGAGTTGAAGGACAAGCTCTTTGTAATTAAGTTTCTCATGTATCTACAGGTAATTCCAGCCAGGGGGACCAGGACCGTCTCAGCATTGACGACGGCAGACCTGGTGATCCTGAACACTGCTGTGGCTGGAAAATGGGTTAGTTCAGCTTTTAAAGCAGACATAAAGAAGCTGCTGGCCAAGACGTTGTGGTGGATACATGAGATGCGTGGCCACTATTTCGCCCCCGAGTATGTGAAATTCCTTCCAGAAGTAGCAGGTGTTATAACTGATTCCCATGCCACTGCTGATTACTGGCGGACGCGCACGAGGGATCGCTTAAGGTTAGCACTAAATGTTAGCTCCAACAAAGATTGGTTAGTTACAGAAGAGCTGATAAACTTAAGCTTGTATTATCTGGCGAGGACATTGTACATATACTTCCTTCAAGCAGAAGTATGAGTTTTGTGTTTATCAACACGTAAAATTAGTAAAGTAGGATGTATCTTTGAGGCAGTGAACGATTGTTACTTTTTTGTACGTTGTCTCTGTATTGCAGATGTTTTCTTCAGGCTGTTCTTAAATTCTAAATGAGATTTAATAGTGAGGTGTCATTTCACTATGTTCGCATACTTGAGCTTTGATCGCTGCATAAAAATAACTAAAAATTCGTACAGGCATATTAGACGCTTCGAATGACGGTTTTAAGTGAAAGATTGATATCTTACACACATGTGAAGTTGCTTTCAGGATGACTTTGCCCAAGATGCATGTAGTGCATTTGGGTAATAGTCAACAATTGATGCTTGATGCTGAGGATGCTGTTGGAAGAGCATCCATGAGACAACGTGTGCGTCAGATTGTTGGAATTTTCGAAAATGATATTGTTTTTGCGATGATCAATAGTATGGTCTTGCTTTTTGTATGATTTACATTAACTTCTCATGACTACTTTCAACTTTCAAAGATTACACATGTTTCTTCATCTATGTTAAAAGATTGAAAACTTCAATGTTTAACAATCCTCTTGTACTTCTGTGACCAATTCATGTTTGAAGTGTAACATTGGTAGAGAAAGATGTCCTGAAAGAGTGACCAGCTTATCGTGGTAATCCTCGTCTAGGTGTATCGCGTGGCAAAGGACAGGACTTGTTTCTAAGAGCATTTGTTGAAGGAGTAAACTTGGTCAAGAAAACTAACATGGTGCAACAGACGGTTTTCAGCGTGCATGCCTTGGTCGTCGGGGGTGACCATGCTGCTCCTCCATACCAGTCAATGCTTCACAAATTTGTGGAGGAAAATGGTCTGCAAAGCACAGTGCACTTTGTGAAAAAAACGATGGACGTTGTTCCTTACTTAGCTGCCGCGGATGTCCTTGTGCAGAATTCTCAGGTGATTCAAATAGTCTCTGCAAAATCATTATGGTATCAAAACACGGAGAGAACCGGCAGTTAGTGCTAAATCTTATTGAAACGTCCAGCCAAACTAAAAGCTCAATTCTCAGTTTCAAATCGAGGTTTTAGGCCACAATTAGAACTTCGTTATTTAAATTATTCCATAAGTAGTAAAATCCGAGGAAAAAAGTTGAGACTTTGCATGTATTTCAGGCTTTGGAATCTCTCTATTCATGAATATCCATATTCAAAACAAAATAAGTAGGCGTTGGTCGGGCTTTAGGCATGCTGTTCTATCATCATGGAAAAGCTGTGAAGAATCTAGGTTGACATGCAGGGGCGAGGGGAATGTTTCGGACGAATCACAATCGAGGCAATGGCTTTTCAGTTGCCAGTGCTGGTCAGCACATCCTAAAGACATGGTCTTCTGATTATTTTATTTGGCAGTTTAATCACTTATTTAAATATTTTTCCTATTATAAGTTATGGATGGAATTTTCAAATAGTCATTACAAGAGGTTTATAAGAAGGGACACTTCTTGCCATAGAAAATTCGAAGTGCTAATGGATTGAACTGAGAAGACCCCAAAAAATACTCTCTATGCCGTACGCAGGGCACAGCAGCTGGAGGGACGTTGGAGATTGTGATGAACGGAACAACTGGGAGATTGCATCCTGTGGGAAAGGATGGGGTACACATATTAGCAAAGAACATGAGAGATCTCATCCTCGATAAGTCGCTGAGGATCAGAATGGGTAGCAGAGGATACGAAAGAGTGAAACAGCAATTCCTGGAGTCTCACATGTGCGAACGGCTTGGTCGTGTGTTCCGAACAGTTTTGCCTCGAACTGCTTGACTTCCCACTTAATGACTCGGGTAAGGGACAAATATAGTATGGCTGTTTTGCCTGTGAAGCTATTGTGCTGTCATTTCTATACTGTTTTATAGGTAATTTTTAGTGTTTTACATGGTTCAAGGCGTACCCCATCCAAGTGGGTAAGGATAAATTTTCGTCAAATACCTGCTGATATAGATCTGTTAAATATCTAGAATTGAGTGCAATGCCGGTAGCCACAAGTCGTGGAATTAACATTCTCCATCATGAAATTCACTAGTCCAATAGCGAAACCTACGGAAAGATCAGCAGTGAAAGTGTTCTTTGTACTTTAGGTGACCGACCGAAATGCCTCATTCCGCTGCATCGTACTCTGCTGCAACTTGAATTGACTCCTTCGCAGAGCAGATCTGATTCACCTGATTTCAACAGTCATTCACAATGAGAAGGATTCATATCTAACCCCAATTACAACAACTATTGGGAAAAACCCATATGGAAGGACACCATCAGCAAGTAGGAATTGTTATCTTTTTTTGTGATCAGGAGATCAATTATCCAGGGTTGTTTCGTCTCCCAGGGATTGTCAGTCACTTGATCAGCGTGTTCTTCAAGTAGCGACCTACTTGGGGTTCATCTAAACTGGGTGCTGCTGGCATTGTGGGTGGGCAATTACAACGCAAATCTCTGCTGAAAAGTCTGGTTTTTGCATGACCCGGTTGTCTTAAAATTCACACACCAGCCTAAACTGAACTTGCTTCTAGCATGCAGTTGCCCACTTATGAAGGAACACCACTGGATGACAGTTCATTCTCATGACCATGTGGTAGTTGCTAGTTATTCTGGGGAAGAGGACATACCTCCGTCTCTAAATAGATATGAAAGAAAGGAAGGTAGGTAGGAATACGAGAAGAACGACGAAAAAGACAGAAATGTTTAAACTATTTTTGAAAAACCACAACAAAAATGCTAACAAAGATGAGTGATTTAAAGTTTGAATGTGTGTGTGTGTATATATATATATATATATATATATATAAAACATAGTATGTTTGCAATTAAGAAGATTCATCATTTTGAGTTCATTTCTATCACATCACTAATATAATGAACAAATGTAACAATTGCTAAAAATCTCACAATTTTACAGTTTTTTCTGATATGAATTGATTTATGAAGTTTGTGAATTTTTTATAATTAATTTATGAAATTTTAACATGTAAAACAAAGGAATCACATACAACTACTAGAGATTATAAATGTGGATTTTGTTGTTGAATAAGTACCAATATTAATTTTTTTGTATTATTGAGACTTGATTAGATTGTGATAATTTAATATTTTTAGTGCATCTCATTTGATTTGATTAATTTTTAAAAAATGATATATTATTATAATTTTTATTTAATAAGTTTTTGAGCTTGTGCTTAACTATTTTATTTATTAAAATTAATATTAAAATATAAAATTATTTAATAAATATTAAATAAAATTTTTATTACACAAATATAGAATTATTAAATATATACATTAAATATAAATTTATATAATATTTTTACAATAAAAATATATCAAATACAAGTCTAACAGTGCAAAACATATCTAAATTGTGTTATTTAATAATATCTAAATGGTAAATTACAAGTTAATATATTTTAATAAAATTCTAATATTTCTTTTACAAAACTTTGTAAGGTGTTTTTTTGATTTGGTTGTTGCAATGACATACAATTTAATATAAGGCGTGTTGAAACTTAAATTTTATACAGATTATGAAAATAATCTAGAATATAATAAATATTTGCAAAAATTTAAGTGGATAATTTGACTAATTGCTTTTAAAGTAATATAAAAGTTTATAAATAGTTAAATTTTATCCTAAATTTTGCTATTGCATAAAAATCAATATTCTAATTTTTTTATTTTCTAAAGGTTATTTTTTTACAAATATTTTAAGATAAGAAGTATCTCAAGCCAATAAATGTAAGACACAATAGAAAAATATTCAACGAGACTTGGTTTTATAATAAAGATTTTAAGAGAATTTCTTAAGTGATACCTGGACAAATTTCTAGTACCACAAAGCAAGTTTTATTCTTTTTTATAATAGCAAGAATAATACATGTATATATATATATATATATATATTTTGCATGTTATTTATGATTATCTAAAATATATTCATGTTTGGCAGAAAGTTTATATAAAATTGATTAATTAAATAGCTTATCAAAGCTATAATATTATGAAGTCATTTATGGATCTTATTTGTTAATATTATTAAGAAAATAATGTTAATATTAAGAAAATAATATTAAGAATTAATATTAATTTTAAAATTTTTAACCATTTAATCATTTATGGATATAAATTATTTTCTTAATATGGTTACAATTTTAAAATGGTTAAGAAAATAATATTAAGAATTAATATTAATTTTAAAATTTTTAACCATTTAGTCATTTATGGATCTTATTTGTTAACATTATTTTCTTAATATTAACATTATTTTCTTAATAATATTAATTTTAAAATTAATTTTAAAATTGTAACTATTGAATGTTACTCTTAAAATTGTAACTATTGAATGTTAAAATATTAAAAAATGACATGCTAATTAACATTAATCCAAAATATTTTCTATCATATTGGATAACATATATTATTTCCATAAAGTATTTTAATACAAATGATCTACCAATTTATATTCTTATTTAAAAAAAAAAGTATGGATATGGGTAAAGCATATTCTTCATTCAGAAAGATTCTCTTCCACAATCAATTTTAAACATTAAGGATTTTTTTCTATATTTTTATTTTTATATTCCAATATTTGCATTTTCACTTCTTTATTATATCCTTTCTTGTCTTATCATGTCTCAGTGAATAACTCATTGAAGTATATTAGATACCAAAAATGTGATAATTTGAAAACTTCTCTCTACTTCAGTCTGTTTTTACATATATGTAATGAGCAGTTTGACAAACTGAAAACAAAATTATAGAACTGGATGAATAATAGAACTAAGAAAAATCAGGATTCGCCCTGAAAATTGGAGTAAGCATGAAAAATTCCGCATTATTATTATCATACAAATCTTGGGTAAACTTACATTAAGCGAGAGCATATAAACAATGTGTTGTACAACGAGTCCAATCTGATGAATGCAGCTATATCTCTAGAATAAAACTGATACAAGCATTATATACTTTACTACCAATGTCTGAGATTCAAGTAGCCAGACCAGACTTTACTCAAGGCATATACAGTGCGGAGAAGACAAGAAAACCTCAAGTTTATTAGCCACAATTAACTACAATCTTTCGATTGAACAAAAAGGTGTGCACGCTTCGACAAGTTTTCTGCGAAGGATATGCTATGCAAGGAGTAGCTTTAACGTAGTCGATTTTAGCATTGTTTTCATTTTGAATCCCCAATTATTTTATGAATCTTCTCCATCACTTCAGGTGTAAGTTTGGGAAGGAGTTCAATAGATTTCATATTCTCAACTACCTGTATATTGAGCCAACAAAAACAAGAGAAACAAATGTCACACACAAACGATAACCTGTCTTGTATTCCACAAAGATATCCTATGACTACAATTAATACTTAATTGAAGACCTCACGATATTATCCAAAAGCAATAGTAGCAATAATCGTTAAGATTTTAGACAAAACAATATGTCTTTGCTAGAAATTTAAAACTTCAAGATGACATGTTTAAACCTATGTGTTTCAGAAGACGTACCTGGTGTTCTTTAGTGGCTCCAGTAATGACAGAGCTGACATTGGGATTCTTAGCGCACCAAGCCAAGGCCAATTGTGCCAAAGTCGCATCAAGCTCCTTGGCAATCGGCTTCAAAGCCTCTATCTTTGCGAAAGCCTCGTCAACTAAGCTTTTTTCTGCCAGATGCTGTGAACAAACAAAGCATGTATCAGTACTCTGAGTAAAATCAACCTCAAGAGACAACACATCACCATTTCTAAAACCAAAACGACAACATCATTGATTACGAACCTTATAGTTTTCTAACGCAAAGCGGCTGCCTTCGGGAATGTTGTCTTTCGTGTATTTTCCTGTGAGGAAACCGGACGCAAGGGGGCTCCATGTCGTCAGACCAATACCATACTTTTTGTAGAGCTCCGCATACTCTTGCTCCACCTGACACGAAAACACATCCACTGTATCACCCAACCACTCCAATCTTCAACCGCATACAGAAGACCCAACATAATAGACTTAGAGTATTTTGTGTCTGTACATCACAAATGAATTGCTTACCCTTTTACGAGCGAACAAATTGTATTCCGGTTGTTCCATTGCGGGACCAATCAGGCCTAACCGATTGGCAATTTCCCAAGCCTCTGTGATTTGCTCAGCAGACCACTCACTAGTTCCCCAATACATTGAATAACCATGGTCGATCACCCAATTCATGGCTCGCACAGTCTCCTCAATTGGGGTAGAGGGATCTGGCCGATGGCAGTAGAGTAGATCAACGTAATCCATGTCCAATCTCTTCAATGATGCCTATATTCGAGCATACAGCTCATCAGTACAAATTTCCTAGAAGTAAAGCAATATGTCCAGTCTATAATTCTGACAAAAATTAAGGGGAGATCAAAGATAGGATTGCAGCTCAAGATTTCACGCAAGACACGTAAGATGTACAAGAGAACGGCCACTATCATCTCCCACCAATTCTTACACTACACAAAATATGGTGAGCTGGAGCAGTGACATGCAAAAAAAAAAAACATGTCGCGTCACGAAAAATCTAACCAAATGTTCCTCACCTTGATGCCCTCAATAATGTGCTTGCGAGAGAGGCCCTTGTCATTAGGACCACTACCGCCCCAGAATAGCTTAGTGGTGATCACAACGTCCGACCGCTTCCAACCAAGCTCCTTGATGGCAGCGCCCATAATCTCCTCCGCCTTTCCATTCGCATACACCTCAGCATTATCGAAGAAGTTCACGCCTGCTTCTCGACACCGAGACAGAATACCTGCAGCCTCCTTGACACCCAACTGGTTGCCGAAGCTCACCCATGCGCCATAGCCCAACACACTCACCTTCAACCCAGTCCGCCCCAAATTCCGGAACTCCATCGCTGCAGTCTTTCAACCTCACTCTGAACAAACAAACACACGCCCCAAGCTTCCCCTCAATCAGCCTCCAAACCTCAAACAACTCCAATGACCCAAAATCCACTGACCAAAATGAAAATGGCACACCAGACGTACACTTCAAACCTTGAAAATGCTACACAAAAGGGATCCAGCAACTCTAACACATCAAATACAACACTAAGACATCAAAAGCAATCTTCATATTCCTCCAATGAAAAAACTAACATATCAAATACAACGATTAAAGACCTACCTACCTACCTCCTCAAAGAGTTTCACTTCAGTGCTGCAGAATAAGCAAGAGAATTACAACAACAACAACAGGGAGTGTGTTGTCGATAAAGGCAGGGAGTGAGTCACTGTTTGTAAGTGTATGAGGAGGAGATTTCGCTCCAGAGTACACCACCTGCAGCAGGGTTTCAGATGAGTGGTGAGAGGACGTCGCAGCGGAAGCGCGAATTATATGAGCGGAAAGCGGGAATGGGTTCCACTTCTGGCTGCGGTCATGCAGGGGTCGGTCAGAAGGTAATTGCCAAGTAGACTTCTACTTGTTAGGGGGTTGTACGTGTGCCACGTGGCGTCGCAGTGGCAGTGGAGCTTATGTTGCTGGCGTGGCGGTCTTCTGTATGGCTGACGTGTCGGGCTAGATACACTGTGTGTGTGGGTGGGTGGGTGACAAGGAAGGCCCCTCAAAGAATGGGTGGTGGTTCTAGTAGCCTTCCTTCCCTTCCTTTCCGTTTCCTTAGCTTTCCTTCGTTGATGTTATTGTTGTTTTGGCCTCTGCTGCTTCTGCCGCGTTTCTCCACCATTCTTCCATTACAGCCTCTCAATATTTTTAACAAAACACTTTTTCAAGTCTAAATTTAAAATATTTTCTCAATTATTTAATTACTATCGACTAATCGTAGAGTTTTTTGGGTTTTGAAAGTTGTGTCTCCTAAATGCTTTTAATAGACATTCCGTTCTATTTTGATATTGGGGTCTTCAGTATTTTTTTAAATTAATGTTTTTTAATTTATTATTTTTAATTTACTTGGAATTTTTAATATAATTTACTAATACAATTTCAGCTGTTAAGATGTATCTAAGATGATTATGCAATTTCCATGACAATTTTGGAAGTGAGCTTAGAGAAACACAACACAATAGCAAAAAACTTTTATATATATCTGAAAAAGAAGAAAAATAATTTTAAATTTTAAACCATAAATAAAAAAATAAAAAAACAAAATGCTGAAAAATTATGGCCATTTGTTACTGATTTTGATGAATTGAAGGCCACAAAAACATACACAAAGTTTTAAAAGTTCATTCTTTACAAAAGCAACTATCTAACTAAAAATATGTAAAAAATGATTAAGTCTACCAGCATAAATTTCAAATACATTGGCATTGATGTAAAGATTAATACCTTAACCAACGGTTTTAGTAAAATTTGGTAGATTAATAAAAGGTGTTTATAAATGAAGTAAAAAAATTACTTTTAAGTGATATATTTCTAAAAAAGATGAATTTAAAATCAAATATTATATAATAAAGTGGCTCAAATTGGATTAACTTTCAATAAAAATAGGATTTATTAAATATTTTATAATTTTTATGATTTTTTTTTCTTAAATCTTTATTTTTTTCAAGTTGTAAAAAGTTGTAAAACACAACATTTAAGAAAAATTAATGATAAATTCATTATGATTCAAGGATGTTATAGACATACATATTTCGTCCAACAATTACATAGATAATATGAATAAGAAGAAGTAGATTAAAGTAGATACATTTGATAATGTCTTATAGAAAAGCTTCTTAAAAGCTTTATAGACACAATTTTGAATATACACGTATTTATAGTTGATTGATAGGTTAGAAACTTGGCCAACAAATTACCTATATTTTTCATGTATTGGTAGCTTCTGATATAAGCTAACTATATAGTATACATATAGAAAACTTACCTTGCAAATTAAGACACGTGTCTTGCAAGTTAGACACATGTCAAAGGTCTTATGTAACTTCTAGTTAGATAGTATATGTAGAGGTAAGAGTGAAGCCTTTTTTACTTCTATCAATGCTTTTCAGTTCTTACTCTTGTTTGAAGACTTTCTAATCTTCTTGTCTTTGGAAATAGCCATTCTAGTTTAATATTATACTAACTTTGAATGATATTTTAGTCTTTTTGAGTGATACAAGAATACATTGGTCTTTCAGTTACTTGAGATTCATATCCTTGATAATTTGACAAGAGTGCTAATTCATTATTTTTATTTTATTTTTAGAAGTGAATGAATTACCTCACTTTTATTGTTCTATTTTGAAAATTATAAAATATCCTTTTTTACACTAGCAGTTTAATTTTTTAATATTGATTTTTTTTCTTATAGAGAATAGAGTATCTATCAAAGATAAAAACTAAATGAAGGCAAAAGAAACAAGTGAGGCTTTTTTCAAAGAAAGATAAAAAAATAGAAATAAGAAAGTATGTATATTAAAAAAAAACTAAAATAGCTATTTCTAGAAGATATGAAAATTGGAGATCCTTGAAACTAGAGTAGAAACAAAAAAGGAATTGATAAGAGTGAAGAAGGCTTCACTCTTGCCTCTATATATGTTGTCTACCTAAAAATTATATAGTGATATTTTATAGGACCTCGAACTTATGTCTAATTTATAAAAATCATGACTTAATTTGCAAGCCAAGTTTCTTATATGTATGCTACATTATTTGCTTATACCAATAGCTACAAGTACATGCAACTTTCATGAAGATACATATTTTTTTCAATTATTATCTATATGATTAAATATAAGTAAATAAAAATAGATTAATTTCATAATATCTTCTAAAAAAGCTTCTTAAAAACTACATAGATGCTACTTTAAATTTACATATGTTTGTAGGTTAGAAACTTGGTCAATAAGTTTATTATATGCCATACATATTAGTAGCTTGTGGAATAAGTTAACTATGTAGAGCACATGTAAAAAACTTGTCTTATAAGTTCAGACATATGTTTAGTAAAGTCAACATGAATTGGAGGTCTTGAAGAACATTGCCACATAGTTTTTAGTTAGATAGTATATATGCAAGCAAGAATGAAACCTTCTTCACTCTTGCTAATATCTTTTTAGTCCTTAGTCTTGTTTCAAGTTTTTTTTGTCTTCTTTTCTTTGGCAATAAACAATCTACTTTAATGTTATATCATCTTTGAGTGATTTTTTAGTCTTTTTAAGTGATATAAGAGTATATCAATCTTTTAGTTCTTTAAGATTCATGTCTTTGATAGTTTAACAAGAGTACTAATATATATATATATATATATATATATATATATATTTAAAAGTGAATGAATTATTTCACTTTTATTGTTATATTTTGAAGGTTGTAGACCATCAATCTTTAAACAAACACTTTAATTTTCTAACACTAATTTTTTTCTTAAAGAGGATGGATTATTCTTTTAATTTTTTTTATTATTTTTATTTGATATTCATTTTTAGAAGTATTTACGGCCATATTTAGAAAAATTGATAAAAAAAATACTAGAGACCAAGCTGTTATGTTTATGATAAGGATAATGATTATCTAATATATATATTAATATATTCCAAAACCTTGCTTACAATGTAGATTGAAATGATAAAGTCCTTATTAATTAATTTTGATATAGATTAAAGAATAATGTATATAAATTTTGTTATTAACAATGCCAAAAGCAAATTCTTTGGAATAATTTATTGCTCAAACCATTGCATGCAATAATTTATTATTTGAAATGCATCAAAAATAAAGTTTTAATTATAGAGGAATAAGACAAATAATGATGGTAGCTCCTAAGTTTTCAAAAATCTATTCATTAAGGCCAAAATCAATACAAATTGATACAATACATTTTAAATCTCTCATTAAGCAAGAAAAGTCTGAATATTGTTAAGAAGATTTGTACTTATATTATAGAAAAGCTAAGCACATTGCTCAACATTATCCAAAGAAGCAATGAAATCAAAAAATAAGAAGTATAGTTGCTAAAGAAGACAATGTATCAGAAAACAAGTTTTTCTAACTACAATAGAAATCATACAGCTAAAATCATATGCAATACCGAGTATAGGTCCTATTCTCTCTTCAAATTCTTCACCTTATTTTATAATAGATATGAATTTAGGACTAAAAAAGTATAAAATCTTTGACTTATTAGATTCAAAAGCCTCAACTTGTTTTATAAAAAAAAACTTTGTTAAAAAAATAAGAGTTACCATTAATCAAGAAAATAAATTCAAACATGTAAAAATCATAGATAGACATTTATTGTCTTCTAAAGATGTTATTTATGAGATTTTTCTTTTAGATTTAGCAATTAAAGATCATAATAGCATAATAATATTTAATATAATAAAATCTCTTTTTAACTCAATTATTTTTGAATTATCATGGTTAAAAAAGTATAATCCTAAGATAGAATAGATTTCTTGTAATCTTAATTTTTTTAATAGTTAATCCAAAATTTTGTTATTAAATAAAAATACATAAGTCTAGCACATCCAAATTTTTAATAATAAGTACAAGAACACTTTTGCACGCGGCAAAAAAAATGACATCTTATGTTATATATGCTATGCCCATTTTTGATGGTAGAAAGATGTCAAGTAGTATTTTTAGTTAATATCAAGATTTTTAGGATATTTTTTGAAAAAAAATATAAATATTTTCCTAGAACATTAATCTTATAATTGTTTAATTGATTTGTAAGAAAAAAATCAACCACCATTAGGACTAATGTATAAATTATTGTATAATGAGTTGGCATTTATCTTATTTGCGAAGAAAAAAGATAGATCTTTATAGATATGTTGTCACGGACATACTCATAATTACATATACAAATATGTAGAAGTAAGTAAAAGTAGGTAAAAGTAAGTTAATTCTATAGTATTTGATATGGAAGCTTCCTAAAAGCTTTATAGATGCTGCTTTGACTTCATAGGTATCTTTAATTGACTTTTTGGATTAGAAACATGGTCAACAAGTTGGCCATGTGCCACACATGTTGTTAGCTTGAAGACCAAGCTAACTATGTGGTCCACATGTAGAAAAACTTGCCTTGTAAGTCAAGGCATGTGTCCTACAAAGTCAATACATATTGGAGGTCCTATAGAATATTGCCAAGTAGCCCTTAGTTAGATAGTATATATAGAGACAAGAGTGAAGCCTTCTTCACTCTTATCAACTCCTTTTTTGCTTCCAGTCTAGTTCCAAGGGTCTCTAATTTCTTTATCTTTTGGCAATAGCCATTCCAGTTTCTCTTTCAATATACATACTTGTTTATTTATATTTTGTTACCTTTCTTTGAGTGAAGGCTCACTTCTCTGAATTTCTTTTTCATCGAGTTCTTGTCTTTGACAGATTGATAAGAGTATACCTACAATATCAAAGCTTTGTGTAATCTTAATTAAGA